ATAGGACACCAAACCAACTGAGACCCGTCCGTCTACCGCATCTACGCACTGTACAACACACACACCTACACACTGTACCACACACACCTACACACTGTACCATATGCACCTACAGCTCCTAATAAAATCAGGCTACAGCCGTTGTGTATTTTATTATGTGAAGCACTAAATGGTTTTAGAAAAATATTGACTCTTTGTTTGTAGATATCTACTAAACTAAAGCAAATAAAGAGAGTAGGCATGTTATACTGAGTGATATATATTTTACACACTGCTCTGCTTTCTGCACGGACCTCACAGCTGTTCTCTCTGTAAACATCGCGTCGCGATGAAAGCAGTTAATAAAATAATATCCAGGGGATGCATGCAGAGCTGTCATTGGCTGAGATAAGTCCGGCCGTGCGTCACGACTCTTTGAAACATCTCTGTTCCCGGAAAGGCATCCACGAAGGAGCCGTGGAGGACCCATCAGTGTATCCTCGGTTATAGCTCCTCCAGAGAGCCTCCTTAACGCTCGGTCCTCGAAGTGCATTTAGAGAAATTAGATGTCCTTCAACATAGCGCGCTGAAATTAATTTACGGGTCACTACCGGAGGACCGAGGGGTCGAGGAGTCGAGGAGGGGAATTTGATGAAATGAGAAAGGGCCCCTGTCTCATGTTTTCCTCTTTGTTTCTTGTCTGGTCCTTCTCCCTGTATTTTCCTTCCTGTCGTTAGTTTCCCTGGTGTGTCTGATTGTCTAATTTTGTTCACCTGTTGCCCTTGTGTTTCTCGTCTCGTGATTACTCCTCCCTGTATTTAGTCTTGTCTCTTCCTTTGTTCATTGTTTGTTTCTCCTGTCTCCCTCCATGTTGGTCACGGTCAGTTTTGTGTGTTTTACCTTGTACTATCTATGTTTTTCGATTCATGCCATGTTTTTGTTTTTTCAGCTTTTAAATAAAGCTCGCTTTTGTTTATAGACCTTTACCTTTTTTGTAGTCTGCTTTTGGGTCCTACCATTTCCGCAATCCGTAACAGTGATCTTAACAGAATGAACCGACCAATTATGGTGACGTTTTTAGTTTTGTATTTCTTGTTATGGGTGTTGTTTTGCTGTTCTGTTCTCCCTGTCATGTTTTCCTCTTTGTTTCTTGTCTGGTCCTTCTCCCTGTGTTTTCCTTCATGTTGTTAGTTTCCCTGGTGTGTCTGATTGTGTTCACCTGTTGCCCTTGTGTTTCTGCCTCCCCTGCCCGGCTGTTTCTCGTCTCGTGATTAACCCTCCCTGTATTTAGTCTTGTCTCTTCCTGTGTTCCCCGTCGGTTCATTGTTTGTTTCTCCTGTCTCCCTCCATGTTGGTCACTGTCAGTTTTGTGTGTTTTACCTTGTACTATCTATGTTTTTCGATTCATGCCATTTTTTAGTTTTCAGCTTTTTAAATAAAGCTCACTTTTGTTTATAGACCTTTACCTTTTTTGTAGTCTGCTTTTCGGTCCTACCTTTTCCGCAATCCGTAACAGTGATCTTAACACATTTCACATCACGCAATCCTTATTCATTGACTTTAAACCAAGAATCACTGGTGTAAACACAGTCGACCTTCTCTCATCTCAGCAGAGTCCTCCACTCTGTCCCGCTGTGCACCTGTCAAGTTCATCTGCTTGACATGGGATGAAAGGATGGAGTCGTATTGTCCCATTGCTGGGTTAGCCTGAGTCTTTTTTTTTTTACAGCGATTGGACATCTGCCAGGAGCAGGCTGAGGAGGGGCTATGGCCTTCGGTCCTAGCCGGGTTAGATTAAGTGAGTTATTTATAAAAACATGTTGAGGTATTGGCCTGGAACAGTTTTTCTTTGATAAAGTACTTTGATCCCAGATTTTAGTCTTACAATACTTTAAATGGAGTGAATTTATAAAGCCTTTTAGTCTTAGTGACCACTCGCAGCCTTTTGCAGTTTATTCATACACTGGTGGCACATTTTCCAAAACAAGTTGCTAAGCTCTTCCGAAGTGTTAAAAATATACATCTTGCCAAGATTCAACATCAGGAACTTTAAGTCTTTCATGTAACGTACAGCTAGGCAAGGCAAACAGAACCGAACAGAACTTTACCTCACAAAAATCCAACAAAGACTGAAGTGAAAAAAACATTATATTCTTCATTCGGTTGGAACTTAAATAAAAAGTTGTAGTTACATGGTACGCTAGTACCATTGTCTTGAAGTGGATTCTAGCAGTTACCGGAAGCCAGTGAAGGGAGCGTGAACGTGAGCATTCCTTTCAAAAAAATCAAAAAATCACTTTGCTAGAACAGTGATAATAAAACAATGCTCCATAAGTCTGTGTGGTCAAAAAAATAAATATAATACAATTGTGCAATCCCTTTGCTAGAACAATAAGTTATAATACTTTGCCACTCTGCAAAATTAAAAAGAAAATGCTGATATTTGGCAAAAAAGTGTGTCATCAGACTTGCCAACCTTGAGACCTCAGAAATCGGGAGCATTTCAAAACCACCGCGGGGGGTGCTAGTGGATCGCCGGAGCTGTTAGAATTAACATGCTTATTGTAGTTCTACAGGAAAGAAGTGAGCAGAGGGTCGAGTTGTCGATTCTTTTTCTGTTTTCTGTGACAATCTTCCTCACCCTCGCAGACTTTCAGTTGCACGCGCTGCTAAAGACTCGCGCTACCATGGAAACCAAACAATGGTGTAGCTGTATTAAAGTCCGAGTGGAAACAGTCGTGAGTAAATCTAATTTTGTCAGAAATCGGGAGAAATGCGGGAGAAATATGACCCCGGGAGGAAACCGGGAGAGGGCTTTTGAAATCGGGAGGGTTGGCAAGTATGCTTATGACGTGTGGCTGAAATGAGACTGTTTGGCACTGCACATTTCTTCAAAACGGGGTTGCAGGCTCAGTGGCAGCGCCAGAGACTTTCTTTTGGGGGTGCTGTGGGGTAGCTTGACCAAACCGTTTGAGAACCGGCCACTAGCTCGCTAGCACCAGAAGCTAACAACAACGACCTCCGGTACCGGTGCACTCTCTCTCTCGCTCGCACACAAAATGGCTAGTTCCACACACACACAGAGCCGAGCTTGAATGAAACACAGGGACCCAGACGTGCTTGTACTGTACTGTATCATGTATATATATATTTTTTAAACAAAAATTGTTTCCTCCTGGTCTCTCGCGCCCCCCCTATCATGCCTCTGTGCCCCCCAGGTGGGTCGCGCCCCCCACTTTGAGAAACACTGGTATAATGTAACAATTGAATTAATTATGAGACGTCAAGGTTGTTGGTTTGCAAGTGGAGTAAAATACTCAATTGTTGTTTTCCCGGGATAATTAAGTACTGGATGTAATTTTCTTGCTCTCTTCTGAGAAAAAAAACCTATGATGGCCTGATCTGGTTCATAAATTTGGCTCGCATACATCCCCACATTTTAGCTTGACAACAGCCTATAAATCTGAAACCACCAGTGCCTGCATATTCATAGAGAAAAACATAAGCTCCAAAGAACAACTTGATGTCAGCGTGCCAGGGTTAAAAAACTTCCTCTCATCAACAATCTTCAATAAACCCTGAGAAATCCCTCCACTGATAATTATTCATCACGGCCCATGCAAACGCTGGTGGTGTGGAAGTGCTAGTATAATTGGACATGAAGGGTCGGGTATAAATTCTGCCGCTGAGATAATGAGGGAATCCGGAGCAGATCTATTCATCTCAATGATCTCAATCTCCAAACCATGATGGATCACTGCTGGATCCCTCATCGGCCAATCATAAATCACCACACAAGTCTCTGCCAACAAAAGCTAATCTGTGAGGTTCATTAGGTTCATTAGTTAACTTGCTTGGGAATGGGGAAACTCCGAAGTGCTGAACTTGGAGACGACTAGCTGAGCCTGTGTTTGCAGCTTGAAGTTTGCAGAAGTTGAGGTGAAGTGATTTTGAACAGACTGGACTTCCAGGCCCCGCCATCAATCAGGGAAACAAAGAGCGAAAAAATTGAGGGAGCCAAACACAGCGAAATGAAAGGGAGGCAGAGAAAGAGATCTATGGAAGGCACAAACATTAACAGCTCTGTATTAATCTCACTTTCCTCTCCCAAAACTCCCAACAACCCCCTCAAGGTCATCCTCCAATCACTTCTCGGACACCTCGGGCATTCTCATCGGCACACGTCTCGGCAAACTGATGAAGCTTTGCAGGGCGGCACAAGCCTCTGTCCCTCAAAGCCCTCCCATCCGCCCATCCTACAAATGCTCCAGTGTCCATTACAGGGACGGATTCGCCGGTAACAAGCGCAGAATGTCCAACCTCTGTGATCAAATGAGCTGTGTGTCACCGTTAAATGTTTCCCTGGTGCCCCGCTCAGGGCCGACACTCCCCCGAAGGAAGGGCCTCAACTCAAATGATTAATGGAGTGACCCAGGCTGACTGCTCGTCAATATCAACAGAAAAGCACCTGCACCCATGTACAGGCACTTGAATAAAACACAATGATACAAATTATTGATAAACATCCTGCTTTCTATGTTTCTTACAGTTTGTACTTACACATGTGCATTAAATGTCCCACTGAATATTTAGAACTCTACATGGATTATAAAAGTTGGCCAAACATTAATATTAAAATGTATAACAACATTGTCTGCGCTGATTAGATTAACACAAGCACCATTACCAATATTTTCTATCAGCCTGGTACAAATCCTAAAGCAGATTTCATGCCTTAAGAATTTGAACTGTAACTTCAGTACTATCAAACTAGACCGTATTTTCATTGTTTCATTGTACATGTTAAAAGAAAAAAGGATCAGACCCGACAGCAGTGGTTCGGTTTGCAAATATCGTTTTTCTCAACATGTGAGTGTGCATTTGCGTTGCTGTTGAGAACAGGCATGGTCAAGACTCTTAAAAAAGACGGAGATCATTGGCTTCCTCAATAATCTTACCCTGGCCACACATATATAATACTTCCTACAAAAATAGTCTGTAGCCTGAATCCTGTCTGTACAGGTGTAGCTAGAAAATAGTTAGGAAATCAGTGTGTACAAAATAAAGGCAATACAGTTTAATTTTTAACGGAAAAAAGTGTCCCCACCACTTTTGAAAACAAAGTGTAAATACTTTACATGTGTGTAAGTATACTCATATGTTTTGTATGTACATGTATGTGAAGGTGTATGTTTTGAAATAACTGAAGTGATATACAGTATAAATATATATAAAGTATATACATATATTATGTTCCACCATTCATCAGAATTATTGGCTGTGCCCCCCACCACCACCACCCCTTCTATACTTCTGGAATCTGGAGCACTGAGTCAGAAAATTAAGTCTGTGCTCAAATATGACCCTTTTCACAATGGAAGATTGAGATTCTAACAGTGCTTGTGGTTCACAGTGGGAGAAAAGCTGCACTCGATGGTATCTGATGCAGAGATTAGACACAACAATTCATCTCCCTTCATTCAGAACTAATCACAGCTTTAGCTAATGCTGATTACTGTAATGGAAAGGCGAGACAACTGAGAGGGAATATGACAGACATACAAACAAAAAACTGCACACACTTGCATTGTTTCGTATGTCTTCTGTGCAGCATTTTTTATATGCTGGCTTGCTCTTTGGAGAAAAGGAGCTAAAAAAAATAATAAGGAAGAAAA